GCAGCGCAGAGAGCCAATTCAAATGTTCCATCTCACACTCACTCCAGGCACACAGTGACTGAGGAGAACTGTGGACAGAATCATCCTATATTTAGAATTTTTAGTCTTTCTTTTTGCCTAATGGCTCTAGTTGACTCTGTATAAGCTAAATATGTGTATGCTGGCCCACTGGACCCACTACACACAAGATAATGTGTCAGACTCAAGGCATTCACTCCTTTTCCCCAAAAGAGTGTGATCGGCAACAATGTCTACTTTCAAATATGCTTAAACAAAGAATGTTCAGAGCTGGAAGGAGGAAATGAAAATAAGATGTGGACCCTGCCCTCAAAGGGCTTAGGCTTAAGTGAGGAAGATAAAACAGACAGGGAATTAACTGTAATAATGGAAGAATGTTATTACCATGACCCAAGTTCAAACGTGGTTGGGCCTTAAACTAACTGGTACATGGAGGAGGGAATGGCAAATCTCCCAGCAACTCATTATTCTGCTAATAAATAATTCTTCTTTAATAAAAGGATCACTCCCTCATGGGCTTTGCGTATGTATAGTTGACTGCAGCAAAATATACTCATGCATAGTATTCCTTTAAAAAAAAAATTCCTATTATGAGTTAAGTTCTCTGTGAAGTAACTTTTTAACAATGTTCTAGCAGGACTTCTTTCTCATCACTGTCTCATCAGCCCTCATTTCCTGACTGTTTGCAATACTGGTCCCAAACGCTAAGCACAGTGCTGGCTAAAGAGACCGATCCAGGCCTTGTCCTCTGGAATTTTATCCTCTCTGGCTGGTTATCTGCTAACAAAACAGGACCCAGACATCTCTTTCTGCACCAAGGATACTGAAGCAGGAGAGGACACCAAGGGCCGTGGAGCAGTGTGGCAAGTCCAGGGTCTGAGTTCTGTCTCTGTCGCTTGCTAGCTGTGTGGCCTTGGAGAAACGGGTGTCCTGGCTCTAACCCTCAGTTTCTTCGTCTGTAAAATGGGGAAGAACCAGCGTTCTTACCTGACATGCCTATTCTAAAGATAAATAAGGTGACACAGGAAATAGCTGAGACACAATATTTAAAGCACTTAGCTATTATGTGGCTGACACTTAAGTAAGTACTCGAATACCAGTTGATATAGTAACTACAAGCAGTCTTTTTGTCCAACCTCCTCCATAACAGGAATGTATTCTTCGACTCCTGAGAGGATAGAGCCTTCACACCTCGGTGAAGAGCTCACTACTGTTCCTGAGCTGCCCATCTACTGTGCAACAGGAAGAACTGTTAGAAAATTCTTAACTGTATTGCACTGTAATGTGCATGGAGCCATTCCCAGCCTGGGGCCCTCCCTGTGTCCTCTGGAGCAGCAAAAA